TGCATTCTTTTTCTATAGAGATGTATTGGAGTTCCTTTACCAGGTGTACAAGTAAGGTTAATGTCAGAAGATGATAAAGATATTACTATGTTAGTTGAACAACCAGGGGAATTACATGTAAAAGGGCCAAATGTATTTAAAGAGTATGCTATAAATCTACCAATAAATTTAACTATAGTCGAATATATCAGGCCAACAAACTTAATTCTTTGTTTAGTATAAGGTAACTTGTAAAAGAGGATAGGCAATACAAATTAAAAATACAATAATTTTATTAGCCGAAAAAATAAAAATGTTTACCTTAATTAATACTACAATATATTTGTACTATCAAAGAAAAACCCGTATATCTAAAAACAGATTATTATAAATTTTATAATGATTTATTTTTAAATATATGGGTTTGTCTTTGACAGTACTCATATATATATGCATCATATTTATAAATTTTTAAAAACAAAGAGGTTATGTTAAACAAAAAATTAAATTGGTCTGACCTTATTATAAATATTGTGTTTAATAAATAGTATATTCCTAACAGATATTGTAATAGGCCTGAGGCTACTAAAAAGAAATTTACTAAAGATAGATAGTATGAATAATTAAGTTACAATTTTGAATTTACGATGCTTAATTGTGATTTATTTTTTCTTTTTATTTAAAAGGTTTAAAACAGGAGACATAGCAATGATAACGGCCAAAGAAGAAGTTTTCAAAATTTTTGGTAGACAAAGTGTCGATATTATTAAAGTATAATTTTATATATAATAAATTAGTAATATATCAAGATATAATTATGTAATTAATAATATATATTAATATATACTTCTTTTAATAAAGAGCGGATCATATAAAATTTCAGCTTTAGATGAGAAAGAATTATTATCATATCCTGATATACAAGAAGTTTCTATTGTAGGTGTTGAAGATGCAGAATGGGGTCAAAAAGTTGGTGCTATAGTTGTTTTAAAAAATCAGGTAAATATTTCAATAATATTAGGGATCTACTATTACCACCATGAAAAATTGCTATTTCCACCTATATAGTAGACTAGTCATGGCGCAAAAATGCTGAGATCACGTGATGGTTGATCAACCATCGGACGCGAAATCTATGGACAGTTCTTAGGGACAGTAGGGACAGTTCTAGATCACGTGATACTACTAAAACCAATAACCCT